TATCGCTGGACGAGTAATTTAAAGGTTGATTTTGATTATTTTATTTATGCAATAGTTTTTTTTATTGTGGAGATAAGTCTACCTTATTTCCTCCTACACAAAATTCAGCTATTTGGTGGCAAAGACCAAAAATATGTTTGGAGAGAAAGTGAGGCCTTTAACCCGGCGGTGGTAGTGTTATCCTCTGGGTTACTGCCAGTGGAACAGGTGCTTTAAGTAAATGGATTCATGACGAATATGGATTGCTTCCACGTTAATCAGGAAAACCTGAAATCGTCAGCCGAAAGGTTGTGTCTTGAACATAGTTGGGTTTTACAACAAGACAGTGACCCAGAACATACATCCGAAGTGGAAGACTAAGTCAGGCTAGAATTAAGGTTTTAGACTGGTCTTTCTAAAGTCCAGACTTAAAACCCCATTAAGAATCTGTGGACTGTGATGAAGACATTAGTCTGTCAGAAAGCCAACAAATTTATTTGAACTGCTTCAACTGTGCCAAGTAAAGTGATCAAAGATCACAATACAATGAGAAGTTTGCCAAAAGCTAATAGTTGAGGTGAAAATGGCCAAGGGACATTCAACCATTAGCAGATTTTGTAATTTTTCCGGAAGACCTGTAATAAATCTATGAAAGAACCAAAATGCATAATTGTTTTTTGTGGTAAAGACATAAGTGTTTTAATGATTCCACCTTAGAAATTTAGGAGCTGTAGGAGTCGTTGGAAAGTCAAGACTATCATGATATGCGTGGTTTTTACAAGTGTATGTAAACTTTTGTCCACAACTGCACAGTGAACCAATAGGTGGCTATTCAGGTCCAGTCCGAGTATGAAAACCCACATTTTAAATACTCCGGGTCATGTTTTTGCCATCTTGCGTCCCGACATCAACACAAACTTAAAATGAACATCAGTCCATGAGTCCAACCTGAGACGCACATTGTATATTATTTAAATTTGACCAGCTGTCCGCGACCCACTCAGAACAGGTCCGCGACCCACCCTTGGGTCGCGACCCACCAGTTGAGAACCCCTGCTTTAGACTGTCTTCACAGAAGCTCTCAATACTGTCATGTGAGTAAGTGTGAATATGAAAGTGCCTGAATATTTCATATGACCACATGTTGTTTCTTATACAGTGATGGGACTTGAGAATTCATTTAGTCTGTTTTCATAGTATTGCTGCAGCACTTTAACTGCCCACGTGGCCAAAGTTTAGCCTCAGCACAAGCCTAAGCCAGCCTTTTACAACAGTCAGTCCTGATGTTTTAAAAATATTTATTGGGAAAATAGGTCAAGTATTTAAGCAGTAATTGAAATGATTTACTTCAGGTAAGGTTTCTGGCAAAGAGGACATCTTGAACTGAACATTCTTGGTTCCCCTTGGAGGTCATTATTTTGCCGGTGTTCCACTCTGAACATTTTCCAGTTGCCATTTGTTTGTAAAGATGTTTGATTATACTATAGGATGTGGAAAGCCAAACTCTCCTGCATGCCGTCATCTCAGCTGGCACTTGACTTTGATAATGCATGAAGCACTGGCATGAAAATGTAGATTTTTTTTTTATGTTTTCCCTTCAACATGTTGTCTTTGCTTTGTTGTTTGAATGTGTTTCTGTGTTTTGTGTTTAGCTTTAATTGTTAAAATAAAATGTGATTGCCCACCGTCTGATAGTAAAGTATGTATTGTTGTTTTTAGATGTATGTTCAGACTGTTTGTGGCAGAGGGGAAGGTTGCTTTGGTGAAGGGGACCTCTTTATTTCTCCACTCTTTGTCCTCTCTTTCCCCCATGTATGTCTCCTACACTTTGGTGCACCACTTCCTACGCCTCCCCCTTCCTCCTGTTTGTCCTCCTCCTGCCCTACTCTTCAGCCAACACGCCTGCCGTCCAAGAGGAGAAGGGGGCTTGCTTCCGTTTGGTCAGCTCAGGGAGGCAGTGTTTGCACCCAGTGTCTGCCCAGCTGAGCAAACAGCTCTGCTGCTGCAGTGTGGGCAAAGCCTGGGGCCCTCGTTGTGACAAATGCCCCCCTCCAGGAACAGGTAAGGCCCCCAGCCATGCCAGACACTTGTCCTGTCTCAACAAGGCCCTGAAGTTACTTTTCTTACTTTTTTGGAGCAAATGTAAAGCCAGACACCAGTCAGCGGTCTTGCAATTAAATTTGGCCTTGCAAATCAGCAAATGTATACATAAAGCTGAGACACTCAGATCTGCCCAGTGGGCCAGAGTCCTGTAGAATCTGCCCCTCCTTCAAGTTAACAAGCCACAAGAATAGACTGAGTACCAATGATCTGACAGGCGAACAACTAAAACATTGCGAGGTCTACTCCCGTCACTGCTCTAGAGACTGTTCATTATAAAACTGTTGAAATGGCCTTTTAATAGTGTAAGCTTGAACTCGTGTCCTTTTCTTTTATCCTGATACTTTCTGTCTGCATGGGTTTCACAGCTTGGCTGAGTAGCTGCTTTTAGAGTTGCTTTTAGATTACATTAGCAAAGTCTTTTGCAGTAGCTGGTATTACGCTTACTCTTACCACTTTCCTGTTTTCTTTATTGAGTTCCACACTATGTCAGTACAGTTTACTGCCAACACTCGCAGGTACTGTAGCTGTATCCCTGTCCTGTGCATTTCAGTTTGTTAAAGGTGTACATACGATGCTGTTTGGAGTCATGCAATGGTTCCTGTGCCTTCAGGTTTTTCACCTCATCATGTTACCAGTGTTTGTGATAACTTGACTGATCAGCATATTGTTTCCAACACAGTATTGAAGAGGTTTGCTGCTTCCTTTTGATGAAAACAAGCCACACTTTGTATTACACATGCCATTTAGTCTTGGAACAATCATAAGGTTTGTCTCTGCCAAAGACTCCACTTGCTAAAAATTGTTGGATGCCTTTCAAGATAGTACCAAGTAGAACCAATTGTTATGCATATTCTTCAGGTCCCTTGTCTTGCCAGTTAAGTAGGTTGGTACAGTGGCTCAGGCAGATATTAGTGTTTAAACTGTAAGGAACAAACAAACAACAAAACACGTTGTCTTTAACATTTTTAGCTGTCATTTTTCAGACAGTTTACTGTTATTTTACACATTTTTCTTGTTTTGTTAAATTACAGATAATAGCTAGTAAAATCACATAAAAAAAATACAAATTTACATTTTAACAGTGAGAAACGGACAATATCAAAAATCTGTATTTTTACAGATAAAAACTTGTTTACAGGCCTTTATTAATTTGTTTACTATTTTACTGTATTTTAAACAGCCAAAAATATCTTTATTTTACAAATATTTGCCATTATTTAAAAGATAAATTATCTGTATTAAGTTTTGAAAAATGGCAAATAGTTGTTTGAGTGTTTTTACAGATTTCTCCTGTTTTATTAAATTACACACCTAAAGGCAGGCCTTCACCTCCCCTATTCTGGCACTCGTGCTGACTCTGCTACATCTGTCTCATTAACAGCCTTTACTATCAGTTAAGATTTGCAGACTGAAGTTACTGTCACTGCTTTCAGTTTTGGTCAGTAACAAAGATGTTCCAGGTCATGTAAGTGAAACCATGTGTTACTGGCCCGTATAAATGATACAATGTGGCAAATGTAGTAATGGTTCAGGTCCCTAATGTTATATCTACTCATTCAAACACACTGGTTAAATAACAGAATGGATGGTGCATCACTGCAGAAATGGCCTCCCAGAGCTGTGGAGCGGTGGGGGTGTCAGCGAGGACAGGGTGTGGTGAGGGTTTGAGGATGTTCTTTTGCATTTTAAATTTGTCAAGACATGATGTGAAGGCATGCCTAAACTAAAGCAGGGCATTAAGTTGCTCTTTAGTAAATAGTTCACATAACATGCAGGTGCTATATGCTGAAACCATTTAGTGTGTTCAGTAAATATTTTATATAGAAAAGGTTGTGTATCAAAAAGCTTGGGAGGTTTCTTTTGTTGTGGAAACAACTCAGAAAGCCCATTTCTTTTAACACCTGTAAAAAGCAGCAACGTTAACTGCAAGGTGGAGTTCTTCTCGTCGCTTAAAGCTAAATACTATTGTTTCATTAAATGATTAGTTAGAACCTAGAGTCTGATTCATAACTCAACTGACTGATGTCATTGGCCAAATGAAAAGTACAAGAATGAAAATTTTAATGAAGGCAAAGCAGTTTGTCACACACACAAGTTTATTCTTAGGTTGTACATTCTCAGGAATCACATAATATTTGAGCTAAGGGACACAGGCTTGAACAAAAGCATCCGTGGAAGGTTTCTGATAGAAGCCAAAAACAGGAACATCTTCAGCATGTAGGTTGATTTTATGTTAGGACACCTCACATATCTCCCATCTACAATTAATATTCAATGTGAATCCTTCTCCATATTTATCTAAGTGAAATGCAAACTCGATGAGTCACGTGTCTTCAATACTCAGGTTATTATTGCCTTTTTTTTTAATCATGTGGGGGTATGGGAAAAAAAATGTTCACAGGCTAAGGGATTTGCATTGCTTATAATAACAAGAGTTGAAGGGTGGAAAAGCTGCAACACGGAGAAGGCACTAATGGAACCAAGCTCATGTGTTCATCTTTGTGTGTTCATCAGAAATATTTTGTTGGAGTGCTTCATATTGCTACTGAAGTAAGATGTGCAAAAGACAGTTTAAACATGACAAGCCAAGCTGTTGCGTAAAATAGAATTGATTGTTTTTCAAATCGTGTTTGTATTTTGTTTCAGATTCATGATTCAATTATGTATTTATTGAAAATGAACATTTCCATGTTTCTGTGAGTGTATCCAGCTGAAAGAAACTGTGTAAACTACAACCTTATAGAACACGTTACTCCAAAGTCTAATGGAAGTACAGTTACAACTAAATTACCAAAATCAGCACATCACTTGTATAATAACAACTTATGTTTTGTGTTGTAATGTAGCTAAATTCAAAGAAATCTGTCCTGGTGGAATGGGCTACACTGTTCTGCCAAATCCTCCGGTCCACAAGCCAGTGAGTGTTTACCAGGAGCCTACTGACCTGTTACTCCCACAACCCCTGCCAACCCCAGAGAGACCAGTGGAGGCTTTTGGGAAACCAGAAGAAACTATACCAGGTGAGTGTTACATTGACTATTACAATTATCAGTTTTTAACACACTGAAGTTGATCTAAGATTGTGGGACAACAGATTAAATAAAGTTACCCAAATATGATTTTCTCCAGTAATCTCTCAAACTCCTTCTGTGTTTCTTCTTACTGAAGAGGATCTAAGAGCCATCACCAACACCCTGCAGACACATAGTTAAGCATTTTCACTATGTGTATCATCAATTTCATGGGCCAACAGAAAGATTGCATCACAGCAACTCGCAGTTACTCTCTCTCTATATTTATCACTCCAAGACACTGGAACTGTTCCATGTGGCATATATATTCTTTGTAATAATCTAAGTTGGACAATTTTATTACTTAAGGGATCTTACTGCAAAAGTTTTGTGTCTTTTGGTCTTCAGTCTAGACTCTGGAACTGACATTCGAACCTTTGTGGCATCAGCAGTGTTAAAACTTAAATATCCTTTAAGGCCAGTTCATAATAAAATTTCAATGTGGCCAACAATAAGCTGCTGACAAAATGATCAAATGCAATGTTCACTGTTTCAAACAGTAACCTTGCAACAGCATTATATACCATCTGAAGCTGAGATGGGATTTTATTTACCACTGTCCACTGAAATACAGTAATTCCAATTTACCTTACAATTCAACAAGGAACTACTGATTCTTAGAAACTTAAGTCTAAGGAAGGCTTTCCCTGAAGGAATATATAAAAATACTACATACAAGATGCGCTGAAGCTCCCTCAAAGCTTCTAGAGCTTCTACTAATGATAGTTGTAATTTAGCTTTTTGCAGCAAAGTCTGTATTCATTTTACTCAGGACCAGTGCAAGGCAAAACTTCACAATCTTTGTATTTTGTTATATTTTCTCTTTACACATCTGGAGTCACCAGACGATAGCAAATGAGGTGCAAAGTACTGGGTTCACCCAGCCTGGATGGAGGACAAGATGTTGGTGGATTTTGCTGTGTGCCAGCATGTTTGACTTGGGACTACAATGATTTTATGTAAAGGACCTCTGAGTTGTTGTTGTGTATGAGCATAACCCAGACGGGTGCCTGTTGCTGTCGGTCACCCTCAAGGCTGTTGTTTAAAGTCATATAAAACAAAAAAAATCCAAAAATAAAAACATGATGTGGACTCGAATTAGGCTGAGTCAGTAATGATAAACTCAATCCCTTAGTGCCACTAAATGGACACAGATTCCATTGATGAGATGTCAGACTGTAAGTGTTTGGAAGAGCGTGGTTCTATGAAACCACCATTTGTACCTGATGTAGAAAATCTTTAAAACTGCTAATTGATCATCAAAAATTGCATTTAATTTTCTGCCAGGCCACAGTGTTGTTGTATTTGAAGTAAATGGAGGCAGGGGAACAAAATATTATGATTTCATTTATGCAGTGCAGAAAGATACTTTTTTAAAGGTTTTTTTTATTGCACAGTTTTTTAATGACCGATGAAGATGTAACACATATCAAACAGTGAAACAAATTTTACTTCCTCTCTTTTGTGAAGTGTAGTATCAATTTATCAGTGTCCCATTGAAAAATGTCCAAAGTTTTGAAAAATACAACTCCAAAATAACATGAGAAAGTCTTATTTATGATCCCTTTTGCGTGTGATTAGGAACCTAGATCTTAAAAGAAACAGCCCTCTTGGGACATTTGTTTGTAGAGCACGAGGATTAAAGTGCTTTGGCTCAGCACACATTTACTTCAAACACAGCTCAGAGAGAGAGAGAGAGAGAGAGAGAGAGAGAAATAAACCTGACTGAGAGAAGGAGAGGAGTTTCAGCCTCTCCTGTTATTATTCAGGACATGCTTGGCAGCCACCAAGGGAGGGAGAAATGTTGCAACATCTTAGCCAAAGCCAGACAGAGTCCAAATTACTGCTAAGCTTCGCTGGAGCAGAGGACTACCGAGTTTTCCAGGCACACAGGACAGGCCTCAAAAAAACAATCTGACAGACATCCACCGCACAAAACTTGTGTAGATTAGTGTTTGGATACCACCAGAAAGTAATGAGGCCCCTGGCAGCCGTACACACTGGCATTCTGGCATAGCAGAAAGAATGTAGTCCGCAATGCTTAGGATCTTTTCACGACACCTAGACCTGTGCATAATTACTGAACATGGTGTTTACTAAAGGTTCTACTTAAAGAAATGTCTAATATGGATATGCAGTGACGGTGTTTCATACATGTACATATTCGCAAGTGTATGTAAACTTTTGTTGAAAACTATAGCCTCCAATCATAAATGACTGTCTTTGCATTTCTTTCGCTGGTTGTGGAGAACCATAGAGATTATTCCTGTGATGAGGCTGACTTCTTATAGCTATATATTGAACTCTAGCCTGCAAACATGCATTTTCAGAACTAGATTTGGACAACATTGTGAAGTGATAAGGTAAACTGTAGCAGTAAAACAGCAAAGTACTTCCTTTGCAAAGTAAGGCAGCAATCCATTTAAAACACTCACCAGCTCTTCACTATACCACAAATCCAAAATCTATTGGTATCAGTGGAGTCTGTAGATTGGTTCACAGAGGTTAAATAAAACATATAAATTGTTTATATAAAACTTGGCTTTCTGGAACCTGAGCTTAATTTGAACTTGAACAGTGAGTCCCTGTTCAAACTTTTGAGGGAATGGGGAAAGTCTAAAACACGTAAAGTTATTTAACTGTTAGCTGTGATGCACCATGTAGTTTTATGTAACACTGTTCTGCTCCAAAAGAGACGAGGTCTGAGCTGTCATCAAATAGCTAGTAGGCTTTGACAGCTATTGTGTCTGACCAGAGCTGATAGTGGATAGCTCATCCAAAAGAGTAGCACACTGCATAGCCAAGATGGTAGCATGATTCCTTTTACAGATGAGGATTTACAGATGATCTTTGCTGTGCCACCTTCTGGTGAACCCATCCCAAACCAGCTTTGGATTGATCCTTCTAACATGTCATGTTCGGGTGTCCAGAGGTTAATATTTCTTCTTCCACTATGCTGTAGCGAATGATTATTGTCTGAGAACAGTGCAAACAAAATGTGCAATTGTTCTGCTCTGGCTGACATGTTCATTAAAATAACACAGGCATTGTGTAGAATAGAATAGAATAGAATAGAATAGAATAGAATAGAATAGAATAGAATAGAATGTTTTTATTGTCATCATACACGAAGTACAACAAAATTAAAAGACAACTCCAGTGGTGCAAAATACAAGTATAGAAGACAAAGTAATTTATTATTGCTAAATCTAACAATCACTGTCCACTGCCCAGCTGCCTAAAATATGACCAAATTTGTGGTTGGATAAATCCATAACAAGTGCAGTTCACCTCAGTGTCCATCTGTTTTAGGTGACAGTACTTTTAAGAAAATCTACATACTCATGAGCCATATGAACTAATTAGCGTCCTTAAAAAGTAACAGAGTGATTCTGACCGAGAACAACAATACACAGTAGAAAAGTCAGACTGTATTCAGACTGTATTCAGACTGTAATCAGAGCTAACTAATGAACATTTCAAGGGATTTTTTTGACAATAGCAAAAATATAAAATTTCCAAATTCTTTGCGCTGAAGATATTCAGCAAACACGTATTCTTTAGATGAAAGACGAGATAGATTTAATGGATTAGACCATAAATCTCCAAACTCTATTCCCATCTGCATTGACGCTGTATATATTATTAGAATCCTTAATTAAAAATTTTGTTTCTTTTTTCCTTTTGGTCAGTAGCAACAACTGCACCAGATCAGGTAGGTTGGGTGGTTTACAGAGTGAACATTTAGAAGCAGTTTGCATGCACAGACTCACTCCTGTCAGCCGCTCAGGAGTTGCAGAATCACCTTTGCATGAAGTCAGCAACTTTGCTGCATGACTTTGGCTGGTCAGCTCTGAGCAGCAAGTCAGTGTTTATACCTTTGATGTGTATATGTACCTCCAGTGACTGAAACCCTTGGCACTGACCCAAATTCAGACAGAAGTCTATGCTGAAGCAGCAGACATTTTCTTGCTTTCTGACTTCCTCACTGAGCTGTTCATTCTTGCTCTGTTAATAAGCTGCAGTCAGTTTCAATGCAAGCTGAATGCTAATCTGCCTCCCAGTACAACACCTACATTGCATGACAGAAGCAGTTTGCAAAACTTAAATGAGTACATTTCAACTGAAACATGTCTACAGTGCTCTGCTGATCTTGTCCCTTTGGTATTATTGTTTGTGTCTTGTTATTGAAGGAGCTGGTAGTGCCTGTGGTTAGCAATAGGCCAGTAGTTGAACCTATCCTGCCCCAGCTATCTCCAGGTGTGTCCACTGTCAAGATGGAGGCTGCCTACCCAGGTGTCTGCTTCACTCCCTTTTAAACTTTGTGGTACGGTGGCCAGTTTTGGACATCTCAGACTCAGCTTGTCAAGCTTACATTGTTCAGACTGCAGGATATTTCTGTCTCATATATTTTGTTTCTGTGTCAGATTAGACAGTTACTGACTCCTACATTTTTGCTGGGACTTGGCCAAGAGACACAATGACAAAACTTTGGTCCCAACCAATCATAGCTAGCCATTTCACACCAACGTGTGATGTCATTGTGAAGGAGCTGTTAGGGTCCAACTAGACACAAGAATAGAAGTAGTGTGTATGATATGGTCTATCCTGTGTTCTTAAACGCAAAAGAAAAAAAACAAAAACAAAATGTGGACCCAGCAGTGGCTTGCACCGAAAGGACAGCATGACTTTATCCTTTAGTCTATCACTCACTTCACCACATTGTTCAGAAGAGAGTGCTCTGTATGGCTGTCTTGGACACATTGTGTCATATTACGTGAGAGAATGTTAGACAATTCTGAGGCTTGTGTTTTTGTTGGAATATGGAGAGGTTGCATCATCTGTGGTCAGCAATAATGCGCTACATGCAATAAACTGATCAGTTGTAAGACCTGACACCATTCATCTTTTGCTTAGGACCTTGTGATGTTGTGTAGTCTGAACCCAACATTAGGCCACCTTGTCAGGCTCAACCATACTCAAGTTCAACTGTAGTTTATTTGTACTGTAATGCTGTAATGTGATGTTGAAATTCTAACATTAGCACAGCATTAAAATTGAAGCAAATAGCAAAAGAACTGTGCTAATATTAAGCTGAAAACCCAACATGTAACGATTCTGCAGAAAATGTTGAAATAGAGCTCAGGCTGCTGAGAAACAGCTGAGTCCTGTGTTGCTGACAAGATGAGTCTGATGTCCTTAAAAGGCCACTGTGCTGCCATCTTTCACACTGGTATTAGAAGGACTTAAAACTATTTGTCACTCCTTTATTGATTCATTTTGTTCTTCCTGTATCGCATCTTGCAGTGTTATTTTAATTTAAGCCAGTTACATTTTCAGAACAGTGCAGCTCCTAGATAATGGAACTGCCAATTGTCTCTTCATTTCTCTTTCCATCTTACTCTTTAGTCCTCATAATTGGATACAAGAGTACAGATTAGCAGATAACATATAAACCACTGACAGGGGAAGAGAAGATTATCTCATAATACAATAACACAATGTCCTGCTGGGATTCCTTTTAGTCAGGATGTGTAGCACCTATGTAAACATTGTTGTAGACCAAGGGCCCAGGGCACTGGCTCTCTTCCATGGCAATGGAGCCCAAGCCGTTTAACCAGCCTCCAAACTCGTTAGATCCCAAACTGATTGAACATCTGCAGCACTCAAACAGATTTGACAGAGGTTCCAACCCACAGGACCCCAAGGTTCCAGTGCCAGACACCACGGGACACGCCTAGAGGTCCCATGTCCATGCCCAATGGGTCAGAGCTGTTTTGGCAGCATTGTATTAAACACTGTTACAATTTTGCTAAACCAAAACAACCCAATGTGTTGGATATCCAACACACAACACAATGTCCAGTTTTGCTGTGCAGTTATGCAGCAGGTACAGAAGATGTGAATGCAATGATTTCAGTGGCCAAAACTTTGTCAGACCACCTAGAATTGTTCAGTTGCTGAACACTGAAAACAGAATAAAGTAATGAAATGTGGACGGTGATATCTTTAATTGTATACTTTAACACTTGATGTTAAAGCTTAAATGCATTTTTTACATGTCCCATTATTCTTTAGATGTTAAACAGACATATCACAACCCTAACCTGGAAGTACCAGGTGTCTCTGAACACACTGTAGCCTTGAATTGCTGGTTTTAATGGCCACGGGTGGTACCCATGACAGTTTTCTCCTATGATACCCCAGCCACTTGGAGTTATAAATTCAGAGTTGTTCTTCTAAGCATTGGTATCATACTAAGATCTTATGCGCATTCTTCTGGCTTTGATTAGTTCTATCTCCTTTCTGACGTCTCGTGTTGTCAGAGAGAATTCCTATGGAACTGTTGGAGAGTGCATGGTTTTATCTCACCAAAGGATAAGAAAGTTGGTCTGTCTGTCTGTCTACAAGACTCAGATACAAAGCAAGATACCACAGTTATTTGCTAGATTGCCACAAGATATGGTATTAATCTTCAAATTATCCACAGATTGTTGTGTAAGGATTTTGATGCTGTCTATATGTTGTTAAGGCAGTTTTGGAGTAACACCAAGCTGCTAGTGTCATTATGTTTTTTGGCTACATACAGCTGGGTGTCATCTACACAACAGTTTTCTACAGTGTGTTGTTGACCAAAAGTTCTCAATTAGAGTGATGGAAATGTTTGAAAATCAACATGCTACTTATATTGAATTAATACAAAATTGTATTTGTAATTAAATGTATGTCTTCTGCTGTGTGTTTTTAAATTAATAGAGGTCATTGAGAGGACCTCTCCTCCTGCGCCAGTGGAAATCCTCCCCTCTAACGCTGGCCAGGACATCGCTCCCACCCAGTCAGCTGGTAAGGCTAAAGCATTCTTCTCTTTTTTATGCTTCCTTTTCTTTATTAGTATAGTTTCTCCTTATCTTCGCTGTTCTGGATTTGTTTGCACGAGCATTTTGTAAATCCGTCACAAAGTTTGTGTGTAAAGTAAGTGATAGTTAATTTCAAATTGGTGCTTCACTAAATCTGGTTGTACCATTGAAACTCAGCCAGTAAAGATGTCAGAAATGTGTAAATAAGTTGCCAGGAAATATTGGTAGCAACAATTATGCAATTGCTGTAGTATCACAAGCTGCAGCTCGGGGCAAACAATATATTAAATTCAACTGCCAATGCTTATATTGACATTATTTAGTTTTATTCATATTTGCATGGAGGGGAAAAATGTGTGTTTTACAGTGAGTTGTAATCATGCAGTTTAAGTAGTTAGTAGCTTCTTGACATTTAAAGTATGTTGATATTTTTGTGAAACTTAATCTTTCTATTTAGCATTTAATAAGCAACATTTTTAGAAGTACAAGTAAATCAACATTACTCTGTTGTTTAGGTACCCACACATCAATTACACTGCCTATAAAAAGTTTTCAACTACCTTTTATTACTTTTCAACATTAAATTATGGTCAGTTTCTGAGGATTTCTATATGTCTTGGTGGCCCCCCTCACTCGCCTCTGTCTAGGACGGTCACTTATGTTTTGAGGATGGCCATATGCCACTTTTCAGACATTCATAGACATGGAATTGTCTTGCATTTAACTCTTGTCTTCTGCTTTCAATAACCTTTTTTTTTTTTGCACAGTTGCTTGAAGTGATTGTTTTGTCTTTGTGGTGTAGTTATAGTCAGGACTACTGATTCACCAGTGATCTGACCTTCCACATACAGGAGTCTTCATACTGTATTCACTATATTCACTGCACTCAGATGATCTCAATTTTGCTAATTGTGTGACCTGTAGCGCCAATTCACTGCACCTGTGTTGAAATAGGTGAGCCACTTTAAAGGGGGTTCATACTTATGCAGTCACTTATTTTACTGTTTATATTTTAAAGTAATTTATATTAATTTGTGGAAATATGTTTTTTACTTTGAAATTAAAGAGTCACTGTACACCTGACAGTTACTGGAAACTTTAATTACAACAAGTTTCTAGTAGAATTACTTTGTGTGTTGTGATCTCCATCTAGCAAACACATACTTTATAACTAGATGAAGTTTGAAAGAACCTGTGCAACCATCTCCAAGTCTCATTGGAGTGATCTATTCTAAATTAGTGAACAAGTGAAACCCAGCTGACAGGTTTCTAACAGACCTTGGTACAAACTCTGTAAACATGTACATGACTGAAAAGACAAATAGAATGAACTTTACTGGGTGATTCAGACTGATTCATACATGAGTATTTTTGTGACGGTAATGTTAATGTGGTGGTGAGTTCCTACAAGCCACTGGCTAAAACTGTCTTAGAAAAGGAATTTACACACAGATGTTGACTTCTGAATTTGTGTTATCCTGTGGGATTTCTCTGTTTCCTCTGCTGTGGGAGTGTTTTTAGCCCTGATATTTTTAGCAGCATGATGCCTTTTAAAGGAAAATCCCAGCCTTTATTTTGTGTAATTTTCCAGTTAGCAGTTTGTGGCATTGTAACAGCCTTTTTAAATGAAGCAGTTTTAAAGTTTTTGGGACAGATATTTCTTCTCTCTTGTTGAACCTTTGGGTAGTTATTATGATAAGCCTCGGTCACAACCAGCCCTACGGGCTCCTATGGCCTTTCTGCGTCCAAATTACGAGCAGAATGGCAGGTGCCACCCAAGTCCATCTTGCAAAATTTCAAGGTCGCATACAGCCTGTAAGCACATTGACATGTCAAAAAAATTCTACGAATTCTCTGCAAACAGCGACACCACAAGTGTAACTTGCTCCCCCCGCAAGGAGTTTGCAAGTGAGATGTGCAATTTTTAAGGCACCATGGGAAGAAAATCTGTCGTCTAAGACGCACGTTACACACAATGAGGGAGCAAGTGCTCCTTGTGTGTTAAGTGTGGCGCACACACTCACAACTCACGAACAAAATCAAACGCACGGCTGTCGCACATCACCCCAAGCCAGGGATATAAAAGGTGTACTCACGGCATATGCTCGCATTTCGCCAGTGATGGTCGATTGAATTATTTCTTCAAACAAAAATGGATATACCATATTAGAATCAGCTTTGGATTGCTTTAAGTAAATCTACCTTTGCAAACAAGAGTTCATTTTAATGTTTGAAGCAGCGGCAGGATTTTCTACGAATTCATGTGAAAAGATTCGAGACGAGAGTCACTTTAGCTCTGACTTCACTGTTTCTGAGCTGAGTGTCCTCTTGTTATCACTTAAGAGTTAGTTAAGTTACTGACTGTAATGTTTTTAAGATTTAATCATTCGTGAATATGTGTAAAAGAATATATGAAAATATGTGTCAGCAGCTCGTACGTGTCTCTGTTGGAGGAGCGGGTCGGTCACTGCTGCTGGCCGGTATCAGCTGGAAGTCAGTACCGGGGCTGACTGTGACACTGCAGGCGAGCTTTTACCGCCAAGTTATCAGGATCTTTGTGTGTGCTACATAAAACATGAAATTCTATTTGTTTTCATCACCATTTGTTATAAAGTTTTAACTTTTATCCTGAAATCAATTTGTATCATCCCAGATCTATTTTTTAGCGCCCTGGGATGACGGGATGTCCTTAAGCTCAAACCCTGTCTGTATGTTAACAGAATTTATCAGACAGCATGTCACCTGATTACCAAAGTGTCTCTATTTTGTTTTTTGTTTTTGTTATTTTATTTTATTTTTTTGAAAATCATACCAAACTGACGTATGCCGTCAGTATGTCATCACAAGTGTGTGAGGCAAGTGTGACCTACTTTCGCTGTGCGTTCCATTCTCTTCATAAGTGGTGAGTGTGTGCCATGTACGCAGGTAGCAAGACAAACTCAAGAAGTGAGCACAGTTTCCACGGCAATCGCACGTTGCAATTAGCGTCCCTGCTTGAATGAACATCTCACGTCGCTCCTGTGACTCACAAGGCAGACTTACACCTTTCTGACGGAGCCCTTGCAAACTTTCCTCTACCTCTATGACCTCTACGGCCTCCACTCACCCAAAATTCACAGAGGACGTATGATCCCTAAAGTCGTGCGTCTGGTTGTGACCGAGGCCTCATAAGGCTGTCACATTGGAATATTTCCAGTTAACAGGTGAGCCGTTGTAGAAGTTAACTGCTAGAATTTCTTGCCTTTCTAATGTTTGAGTGCATCAGTTGTGATGTACTGAGGCAGTGTTGGTATACAGCAAACAGCCCAGTTCACATACTAGAGTATAGTGTGCTATGGAGCAAAACAACAGTTTATGACTTATTCCAAAGAAGAAAACAGAAAATCCAGAGATCCTTTGTCACGGCTGTAAATTTGGTAGGAGACCATTTGACCATTTGAGAAGGTAGCGAACCCAAAACTCTGATCCAAATGGACCATCTGCATTAGGTGAGATAAATCAGGTGTTTATGAAACAACCATTCACGGTCCTTTTGGAGATAACAGGATGTCTCCTATCTTCTAGAAGTACTCATAATGGTTACAGACTCTCATTTCTCAAGATAACCATACCTCTGGAGAATAGTATGTTTCATTATTTACTGTGACCTCCTGACCTTCTTTTCTTCCTAATGCTCAGAACTTTTAATTGAAGAATGAATTAATCTGTTTCAAAATGTAAAATTAAGGAACTATCATCAGGACCAGTATTGAAGAGAACACCTGATTTGTGTAGGATGCACACACGAGTCACAAACACCCCCCTTCTCTCTGTCACCGCCCAAAAGTGAATTCAGTGCAACAGTATGGATTTGCTTTTGCTTCTCCAAGTGGGTCATAAGACTATGGTGATGCTATTGAAGAGAACCAATTTGATTTTCTACTTTTATTGGCTGAGGTGTTGCTTGGGTTGGACCTGTGAACTGTGGGGAAAGCAGATACAATTATTGGTACTCAGACTGGAGGAACAGACATTTATTATATTTGTTTTTATATTTATTAATATTTGAAGCAGCAGTCCTGAGCCTGCATATCCCAAGAGGGAGCCTGACAGGATGTATATGAAACCCAAATAATTTGATAACACAGATTGCACAGTGACAAGTGAACAAGTTAAGCTATCGATTTGGGAGACTGTTTGGGAAATGTGGAGAAATCAAGTAGAATGGCGAAACAGTCTTACTGGTTGTATGCCAAATTAATAAATAAAATATTATTAAATACAAGTTATGAAGGCTATGAATTAGATTCCATTTAGTTCTTTACAGTTCAGCCACTTTGCCTGCAGCCAGTTACTTGAGGCCACTTGGTGGTACACTTTGTAAACTTGTTGTGCTTTTACATTAGGCTGTTAAATTGTGGTACTTTAAAGGTAGGGTGTGCTTCCTTGTAGCTCTTATAGTGTCTTATGGGATCAGTTATTAGCTCTGAAATTGCTGTTGCATTAATGCTCTCTCTTCTGGCCCAGAGGTGGATGAGTGCCAGATCAACCCTTATATTTGTGGCCAGGGGATTTGCTACAACACAGCTGAGAGCTACACCTGCCACTGTGATGAAGGATACCGCCTAGATGACGCCCAAACCACCTGTGTAGGTAAGGAATCTCATGGTCAGAGTTAAGGTCAGAGGTCATCTTTTTCATGTCATTGTCAGCAGGTTGGCCTCAGTAACAACACGTTTTGCATGCAGTGTGTAGACGGAGCAGACCAACATTATTTTACCTGGAGCTTGGAGCAGCTTTTTAGCTCTCACAGCATCAGTGTCCCACAAGAGAGTTGTGTTCAGATACACAAACAGCCCTTGGCTGTGTTCCCAGCTTACAACAAGCGTTTATTCTGCCTGTGACCAGCTTCTCATATACAGTAATGTGTAAATGTTTTAGACACTGTAGATGTTTAAATTCTTATCATCATGCAACATCATCAGGGAGGCGTCTGATCGGTTCCAAATTCATATATTGGCCGGACAAAGAGCCCTGAAGTCCAGGTTGAGTCATAAATGTACAGTAATAAACAAAAGTTTACACATAGTTTTAAAGACCATGCATATCACAGTAGTCTTGAGTTTCAAATGACTCCTTTACCTCTAAATTCTATATGATGGAATCATTGAAACACTTGTGTCTTTGACACCAAAAAACAATCATGCATTTTGGTTCTTAATAAGTTTATTATAGAACTTCTTCAAAATTACAAAATCTGCTGGGTCAAAAACATACATACAGCAACTTAAATGATCAGTTTTGGTGATGTAGAAACCTGTGCTCATCATTTTTTTCATAGTGTCCTTCTTGTGCGTGATTACAATTGACTACAGCTGTTGACTCCTCTGAGCCAATTTAAATAGGTCCCATTTGATACACTCGTTCAACTAAGCCACAACCACTACAGTGGAATAGTCTGAGGAGCTCAGCAAAGGTCTGAAAAAGAAAGTCATTGACTTGAACAAGTCAGGAGAGTCACTTGGAGCCATTTTAAAGGAGCAACAGATTCCAGAATCATCTGTACGAACAATTGTTTGTGAGTATAAAGTGGATGGTACAGTTATGTCACTGCCACAATCAGGAAGAAAACACAATCATCAGCTGCTGAGTGACAATTGGTTGGGATGGGGAAGAGTCAACTAAGAAGCACCAAAAAGCAGGTCTGCAATAAATTAGAAGCTGCTTGAACACAAATGTCCACTGTAGAGTTTTATATCGCCATAGGCTGAGAGGCTGCTGTGCAAGAAGGAAGCACGTCCTCTAAAAGCTTCAGTTTGCTGCTGATCACAATGACAAAGTAAAGGCCTTCTGAAGCAAAGTTCTGTGATCAGGTGAAACAAAACTTAAGCTATTTGGCCACAGTGATTAGAAATATGTTTAGAGGAGGAAAGGTGAGACCTTTAACCTCAAGAAGACCAAACCTACTGTCAAGCATGGTAGTGGAGAGTTATGCGATGGGGGCTGTTTTGCTGCCAGTGGAGCTGGAGCTTTACACAAAATAAATGGAAAATGAAGAAAGAGAATTACCTCCACTTTCTTCAAGAAAACCTAAAATTATCAGCCAGAAGGTTGGGTCTTGGACGCACTGAAGTGTTCCAACAAGACAATGACTCCAAACACATATCAAAAATGGCAAAGAAATCAGGCTAGAATGAAGGTGTTTGACTGGTCTCCCCAAAGTCCTGACTTAAACCCCATCAAAAACTTGTGGACTGTGATGAAGAAACAAGTCTGTGTCAGAAAGCCAGTACATTTTGTTAAATTGCACCAATTCTGTCAAGAGGAGTAATCAAAGATACAACCAGAAACTTGCCAGAACCTTGTGGACGGCTACCAAAAGTGCCTAGTTGAGGTGAAAATGGCTGAGAATGTTAAACTAAATATTAGCATTTCTGTATGTATATTTTTGACCCAGCAGATTTTTTTTCATATTTCGAGATGACCTCTAATAAATCTATGAAAGAACCAAAATGCATGATTGGGTTTCAATTATTCCACAGAGTCCATAGAGTTAAAAGCGTCATTGAAAAATTCAAGACCACCTTGATATACATACATACATTGTTCATGGCTGCATTTATAGTTCATAGCTCATCCTCAACGAAACTTCTCTTTCTTTATTTAACCACTTTAGCAACTGTACAGGTGTTGCTTGTAGTGAGCAAACCCCATGCACTGAACATTTGTGCAGTGTGTTGTAAGTGAGAGCTCAGACTCATAAATGATGTCACAGAGAAGGAACTCCAGTCCCGTCTTTTCTTTTTTTTTTTGTCTCTTCACGTCATTGTTCAGAGTCATACTGCTACGAAATGAGGGAACATGTTCTGCTGAAGTTGAAACATGATTAATTTGCACAGATGCATCTTAACCTCAGTTTGTGTCTCCCATAGAAAATTTTCATCCCTATCTGCAGGGACACTTATCCATCACAAGTGTAAATGTACTCACTAAATGTTATTGCAGCCTATTGCCCATTAGATCTTTTGCATTTGGATTTCAAAAAAAGAAAAACTGATTTGCAAGAACATTGCAACCAGCCTGTTTCCAGTCACTGCAAACTCATAAAAGTGAGTGTTACCACCACATACAATGTGTGTTTGTTCTAAGTTAGCCAGTGTGTCGGGTTGACTAACATTTTATTCTTAAAACGAACTCTCTACCTTGTATAAAACTAATCTAAGTAACACTTTTAGACTGGTTTAACAGAATGCAGCATTTTAAAATGTACTCGTGAAACTGGCTTAAGTGCAACATCAAGCATCGGGACACTATGTATGCTATGCAGAACCACAACTTCTGGCACTAGTCAACACCCGGTCAAACAAAAGCTCTGCATGCTAACAAGTGCATGCTAATAGAATTATAAGTCAGTGGAATTTGGATGAGACCAGCAACCGCACTGTTGCCAGCGTCTGCACCACCTCTTCCCTGCTTCATCGCCCTTATTGGGATATAAATATGAGGCACTCTGTAATTACGTGGTTTCCTGCCATTTCAACGCAGCTCTCCCCACCCACCAAAATGATACTGAATTAGGGCTGTGAGGGCAAACAGGCCTGATGATTATTTCCCCATAGCTGCAATAAAATCTCTTCTCCTCAGCTGTGGAGGATGAGGGAAGCGATTACGACTTCTTTAGAAAGTTTATGTGCATGTGGATTTGCAACCGAGGTATCTATTAATACGATTAATACAAAAACAGGCTCAGAAGTTCTATTTTTTAGACATACTTTGGAATAAAAAAAAAAAAAAAGCATTACACTGTTCTTAAAAAAAGTCCTACGATATATAGTGTTCCCAGACGTGCTGATATTATGTAGAGTTAAAGTACTTAATTTTTAAAGTGTGAAACCACCATTCAATTGTAGCTATGGGTTTTCCCACTGTAATGCATCACACCTGATGATAAAAATAGATTTACAGTACATAGAGTCATAGCAGTCTTAGACATGCTGCTACACTTCATGTAGTGTGATCCTGATATAATGGTTTTCTAAAAACACCAATAGCCAAGATGAGACTATCTTCCAGATGTTACATCCCATATGTAAACTTGCTTGTAAGCGCAGCATTGACATACACCATTAACATTAATAACAAACAGTTACTTATTTGAATATTTAACACATGCATAACAACACCAGTCATGTTTTTCAAGTCCAACACAGTCTTTTATCTCTGTCTTTGTTCTCTACCTGCTCCTGAGGGAAATAATTGGCTCTTTAGATATAATATAGATAGTAGTATTGATTGGGATTTTCTTAGCCCACTTATTCTGGTAACTTATACTTATATAGGTCATCGTGTGGAGGTCAGGGTGGTGCATAAGCATTTCATGCAAGAAACCAAACCGAGTTTATACGCCCAGGAGTAACTTGATTCATGTAAATCCACATGTACGTGCTGAAGTCAGCTATCCTTACAGTCATTCTCCCAGCTTGTACATGTCTGGATTGAACTGTCAAAGTTCACCTGCTGAAACCAACCAATTTGGTCCACTTTGTATTTGTTTCAGTTATTGATTGAGTTAAAATTGAATACATTTAAATAAACATACTGCCACAAATAATGAAGTCTCCTTTGTCGACCTGCTGTGCTGTGACAGCTGCCCTATGTCAGACTTTGGTCATCATGTAAACAAGACAGTGATGCTGTAATGCAGGCATCACCAAATGGCGGACCTCGGTCTGAATCCGGACCGAGTGATGGTTCTGTCTGGACCTGTGACCAATCTCTGATAAATTCATGAGAATAGATTTTCATGAAGCATTTTTTTCCGACAGTCGCGGCTATAGACAGCTAGCACTGCTACTACAGTTAATACGGCAATAGCTCCACTCAGTCCAATCGTTTGGTTACCCTGCATAGCCAGGGCACTGCCACAGCTCACCGCCGCTTCCACTTTGCGCTGCCTATTCAGTAGAGCAGAGAGGAAGAGACAGTGATGACAGCATGGCTTACTCCAAAAAGAAGGAAGGTTAATGAGGAAAACCGCTGCTTTGAAGATGAGTGGACGGAGAAATGTGTGTTCATTCTTCCGTCAGGCAGTTCACAACCAGTGTGCCTCATACACTCAGAAAACGTGGCATTAACTAAAAGTAGCAACATGAAGCACCACTATGAAACAAAACACAGCTCTTTTGAGCAAAGTTATCCCCTGAAGTCTGAGTTTAGGGCAAATTGACAATAAGTATTGTTGAAACCATGAAGATGTGGCCATAGGGGAAGACTATAAGACACAAACTGGACTTCGATTTGGACCTTTTGCTTGGAAGAAATTTTAATAACTGGACCTCGGTGACTTTTAATTGAATACCCCTGCTGTAATGTATGTATACATACTTAAGAAATCTGCATTTCCCAGTAAAAAAAAAATCTAACCTCTACTCTGATGTCAGAAAACTTGTTTCTCATGTGCAGTGTGTTCATTAAATTAATGTAACTGAGAGAGCTGAGTGTAACCAGGTTGCTTAAAGGACTGACTCTCAATGCTCAGTTAGGGAGCTGTTTACAGTGAAGCGTCTACCTGGCCACCAGACAGCAGATAGACAGACAGAGTTTGCAGCCTGCTGGTGAACATAGTGGACCTTTTAGCAGTCAAAGATAGTCATAATAAAAGTGACTATTGGATAATGTTTTATTGTACACACAGTTAAGTTTGGCATTCTTATTGGCACCAAGAACTAGCAATGTAAAACACTGTTTTTGACAATTTGTTGTTGTTGTTGTTGTTGTTGTTTTTTACAGATATTGATGAATGTGAAAGCAGGACAGCGTGTCCTTCTGGTATCTGCTTCAACGTACCAGGGAGTTACAACTGTGGCTCCTGTCCTGATGGCTTCATAGGACAGGGAGGCCAGTGTGAAGGTAGGTTTGACAATCTGTTTATATGAACCTTAGTGTACACTCCTTTAATTCCAAACTGCTCTACCCACCACTGTGCTGAACTATGTCACACTTATGGGCCTTTCACACTAAACGTGACAATAGCACCAATGAAAGCTGTTCATTTAGCGAGCTTGTCCTGTGCAGTGATGATTTGCCACTGCGCTGAACAAAGCGCAGCGCAGCACAAAGTTCATCTATTTGAGCTTGGCAGTGTGCGTGACTTGACACAAGAAATGAAGCTGAGGGAGCTGAAGTTAACCAGCAATGCATTAAATGGATGCAAATTAACAAAGGGAGTGTTTCACACTGTTTGTCTCCCTCTTTCATTTCAAATGCATGTTTATGTATTTTCATGTGGACCTCCTTCCATTATATCCTGATATTGATTTCCACCTGGGCCATTAACAATTACACAGGTTTATTTTGACTCAGTTTAGACTTGGGTTTTTCTGTTTCTTAATTAGAATTCAAATGTAAATTTTGTTTTGTCATTTGATTACGTGGTTAAAATATGTTGTTTTGTCGCTAGCTCAAAATCTCTTGTATGTGTGACTGTGGAGGACTAGAAACAGCAATAGAATACAATTTCATGCAAAAATAAAGTACACTTGCAACAGCCTCCAGTATAAGCTTCTGATGGTATAACTGAAATACTGATAAGAATACATTTTTCTTTGATGGAAACAGATACAGATGGAAGCTTTGCCTTACACTGTTACGATGGCTCTTTTGGCCAAAGTACAGCTAAGCTGTGCACTAACACTCATTGCTGGTGTATTGCTAATATCTGAGCTAGAAGTAGTCTCCAGTCTCTTTGTCTGGACTTTGAACAGATTGTAGAGTTCTGGGAATAGTTAGATTACATCCTACATTCATGGCGCACAGTGTTTAGCCATCAACACATAAAGAAATCAGCTTAGGAAGCACATGCAGAATAAAATACCCCACCAATCAAGCAGTAAAACAACATACCATTCCAAAGAACACACAGTATGGGCCCACATTTTCCTGGAAGTTGTATTATTTCTAGCAGAAACCAAAGGTGTGCCCATCTCTCCTCTTTCAGTAGCTTACTGCTCCTGTATCCCATGTGACATGGGGTTAGCTGTGAGGTTTTGACTGTTCACACACCACGTAAGGCAAGCCAAGCCACAGTGGGGTGGCAGAGAATAGTGGTGGCAGCAAGAGGAAATAATTAGGCCGTGCAACAGAGTCCTTTATAGAAGTTAATAACCCACCTCCCAGATGTTTGCATGACACTGCCAAACTCAGGGAAATGTCACTTCTCCTAGACTNTTGAGTTAAAATTGAATACATTTAAATAAACATACTGCCACAAATAATGAAGTCTCCTTTGTCGACCTGCTGTGCTGTGACAGCTGCACTCTGTCAGACTTTGGTCATCATGTTACAAGACAGTGATACTGTAGTGCAGGCATCACCAAATGGTGAACCTCAGTCTGAATCCGGACCGAGTGATGGTTCTGTCCGGACCTGTGACCAATCTCTGATAAATTCACGAGAATAGATTTTCATGAAGCATTTTTTCCGACAGTCGCGGCTATAGACAGCTAGCGCTGCTACTCCAGTTAATACGACAATAGCTCCACTCAGTCCAATCGTTTGGTTACCCTGCATAGCCAGGGCACTGCCACAGCTCGCCGCCGCTTCCACTTTGCGCTGCCTATTCAGTTGAGCGGAGAGGAAGAGACAGTGATGACAGCATGGCTTACTCCAAAAAGAAGGAAGGTTAATGAGGAAAACCGCTGCTTTGAAGACGAGTGGACGGAGAAATGTGTGTTCATTCTTCCATCAGGCAGTTCACAACCAGTGTGCCTCATATTCTCCGAAAACATGACATTAATTAAAAGTAGCAACGTGAAGCACCACTATGAAACAAAGCACAGCTCTTTTGAGCAAAGTTATCCCCTGAAGTCCGAGCTTAGGGCATGCAAAATAACCGAGCTTCAAGCCCAGTATGACAGATCTATCCGACTCATCATGCACATTTACAGCCCAGCAACGTGAAAACGAAACCTTCTATTTATTGTTTTCTGAGGATGTTGACTTTTTTCTTGTAGTGTAGGCCTTTAGTTCTTTAGGCTGGGACCTCTTCAATTTAAGAGATAAAAGGGTTATTCAGCTCTGTTTGCACTTTTTTAAATGTATTTTATTGTGAGGTTTTTGTTTTCTCTAATCTGAAATAAAGGCCTCATTTTGTTTTGCCTGGGACTACTTATATATATGGTAAAAGAGCTAACTGTGCATTCAGTTAAACATATCCTGCACTGAAAACTGACAATAAGTGTTGTTGAAACCATGAAGATGTGGCCATAGGGGAAGGCTATTAGACACAAACTGGACTTTGATTTGGACCTTTTACTTGAAGGAAATTTTAATAACTGGACCTCGGTGACTTTTAATTGAATACCCCTGCTGTAATGTATGTATACATACTTAAGAAATCTGCATTTCCCAGTAAAA